CAGTAAGGATATTCGTTGCTAAAATCTGTCATTTAATATATACATATATATGTATGTTTTACATCCATATTATTATATGTTGTTCATATTCTTTTCTAATACAATGTAATAAATGGGTAAAAGACCATTTATAAACTGAGAGAGGTAATAGTTGTTGTTAAGCTCCATTGAGTCCATCTGACTCAACAATGCTATGTACAGCATCACCAGGCAGTGCCCGGTCGACCTTCATTCTCACCATTGTTCTTATGTGTGAGCATACGGATTGTCGCAGCCACTGTGCGAATCCATCTTGTAAGGGGCCTTCCTCATTTCGATACTCCTTTACTTTACCAGGCAGAGTGCCATGGTGAGTCTTTTACTATGTTACAAAATAGAGAACCAATTCATGATATTTCATGACACTTGAATATGTGTTTTCCTTTTTTGGTTGTTGTCGTTTTTAAATCATTTTATTGGGGGCCCATGCAACTCTTATTACAATCCATACATCCACCCATTGTGTCAAGCACATTTGTACATATGTTGCCATCATCTTTCTCAAAACACTTTCTTTCTACTTGAGTCCTTGGTAACAGCTCCTCATCTTCTTCCCTTTCATTCCCAACCCTCTCTCCCTCATGAACCATTGATAATTTATAAATTATTATTATTTTTTTTTTTCTTTCATGCATCTTCTTCTCATTTCTTTAAGAGTTTCTTACTAACATACATTTATGTTTCCTTTTTTATCATTTTATTAGGGGCTCATACAACTCTTATCACAATCCATACATACATCAATTGTGTAAAACACATTTGTACATTCATTGCCCTCATCATTCTCAAAACATTTCTTCTCCACTTAAGTCCCCGGCATTAGGTCCTCATTTTCCCCCTCCCTCCCCTTCCCTCATGAGCCCTTGATAATTTATAAATTATTCTTTTGTCATATGTTACCCTGTCCGACGTCTCCCTTCATGCACTTTTCTGTTGTCCATCGCCCAGGGAGGAGGTCACATACAGTTCCTTGTAATCTGTTCCCTCTTTCCTAACCACTGTCCCTCTACCCTGCCAGTATCACCACTCACACCACTGGTCCTGTAGGGATCATCCTCCCTGGATTCCCTGTATTTCCAGTTCCTATCTGTACCAGTGTACATCCTCTGGTATAGCCAGACTTGCAAGGTAGAATTCATATCATGATAGTGGGAGTGGGGAGGAAACATTTAGGAACTAGAGGAAAGTCGTATTTTTCATTGTTGCTACATCGCCCCCTGACTGGCTCGTCTCCTCCCTGAGACCTCTCTTCAAGGGAGTCTCCAGTGGCCTGCTAATAGGCTTTGGGTCTCTACTCCGCACTCCCCCATCATTCACTATGGTAAGATTTTTTGTTCTGATGATGCCTTATACCTGATCCCTTCGACACCTCGTGATTGCATAGACTGGTGTGCTTCTTCCATGTGGGCTTTGTTGCTTCTGAGCTTGATGGCCGCTTGATTACCTTCAAACCTTTAAGACCCCAGACGCTATACTTTTTGATAGCTGGGCACCATCAGCTTTCTTCGCCACATTTGCTTATGTACCCATTTGTCTTCAGTGATCCCTTATTTTATATTTTCTGTACCCTTGATTTCCTCTTAGCTTATTACATGACTACCTCTCTAAACATTGAACTGTTAACTTGGCGTGCATGTGAACATTATATAAATGCAGATTAACCATCTGGATTCTGTGGTGGCTTTTCTCACTCAGTAAAAGGATACTGAGATAGATCCATGAAGACGTGCACAGCTCTGTTTTATTATTTTCACTACCAAATAGTCTTGCATTATATGAATCCATTTTAATGTTGATAGTTTTATTTGGACTATTTCCCACGTTTGTTGCTATATTTCTTGCTATTATGCACATTCTTGGTTAGGTCTTTTGGTACATATGTACACACATTTCTAGAATGTCTATACCTAGGAATAGACATCCTAGAAATGGAATAGCTGGGTCACAGTGTGTCCATTTCTTCAGCTGTTATTAAAACTGAATTATTTACTGAAGTGTTTATTCCAATTTACACTCCCATCTACAAGTTTATCACGTTATTGTCAACGCTTAATATTGTTAGACTTACATGTTGTTGCTTGTCTAAAAGGACCAGCATATGGTACGTTTGCTTTGTTATATATTTATAGACTACATATGCATATATACTTGTACTAATGAATGCATAATTTTCACATACTACCAAAAGAGAGAAAACAAAACACTGCCATATAGCCAAACTCTTAGTGACCTTATATAGGATTTCTGAGGCTGTGTGCATTTTTCTGGGAGCAGCAGACTCCTTGCCTCCTGAGAAAATAACTCATGTGCTTGAACCACAATGTAGAAGTCCAAAGTTACCCCACTCTGCCACCAAGGCTCCTTCATGCATGCATCTGTATTACATGCTACATAATTACTCTCTTACTAAAAATAGTATTGAGCACCTTTGTATATATTTCCTGGTCATTTAATTTAGTTTAGCTGTGTTTTAATTTCCATGATATATAGTTATTTCATTTTTGATTTTGAGTTTAAGTTGTATAGGGCTATTTATGTCCCTCAGAGCAAAAGGCAAAGACCTTTTTAAGAGGACTTCATAGGTTCTATGTGATCAGATTCTAAGTGGTATCACTGAGAATTCTACTCTTAATACTCCCCGTGCTTACTCAGTCTCAGCCACACTGGCCTTTTAGCTCTTCCTTCAACATTTCAACCATACTTTCACCTGAAAATGTTTGTGCTGTTGATCAAGAAAAATAGCGAGACCATAAGCCATGCAGCATAGCCTGAAAGTTTCCCCTAAACGTTGCCTTTGGCTAAAATTTCAATCAAACAATAAATAGGTCTATAAAGTGAGTAGTAACACCCGGGACGTAGGTGCTCTTTAGAAAAAAAATCGATATGAGATCAAAGTGCACCCTCTGGCCAGTGGTGAATATCAGAAGTCCGCAAAGTCTTGGAAGAATGGATTTGGGCAGCGTAGTGAAGAAGTGGGAAGAGTGATGTCGCATTGGGGGGATTGCAATCAATGCCAAAAAAAAAATGTCTATGAATTGTTGAATGGAAACCCAGTTCACTCTGTAAACATTCTCTGAAATTACAAAGAGGCAACCCCCATTCCCCCACCTCTAAAAGAAGCCAGTGAAGCATGGAGTCTGCCAGCAAAGCCAAGCCTGGTACATAGTTTATGAGGCATGTTTTATAGGGAACCTGCCTCGTAATTTCATATATTCTACACTTACTATAAACAATCTAAGTCAAAGACATCCCGCTAAAAGCACTAAATAGCAAAAGGCTCTTCTCTTAGAAAATCGCATTAATCTATTTGCCAGGATTATCAGTTGGTTTATAAGAACAGACATTTGTCTCACAGCTCTGGAAGCTGAGTCCTAAATTAGGATTTGCCATATTGATTCTTTCTGAGCACTCTGAGGAAGCCTCTGTGCCCTGTCTTTCTGCTAACTTCTCACAAGGGCCAGTACGGCTTGGTGTTTCTTGGCTGATCGGTGGATCACTCCAAATTGCTGCCTCCCTCTTCACGTGATCACTTTCCCTCTCTGTCTCAGCATCTCCTCCTCTTTTATGAAGACACCTCTCACACTGGGTTTGTAAGCCCCCTGGATCTGTGCGGCCTCCTGGCAACTTAATTAATAACATCACCGAAGACCCTATTTCTAAACAAGGCTATATATATAAATATATATTTATATTTATATATATATGAATATAATACTGGGGATTAGATACAGGGGCTTAGAACTTGAATGTATGTGTTGTGTGGTGGCGGCGGTGGGGAAAAGGATAATTTAATCCATAACAGCTTTCACTTTTCCCTTGTGGGAACCTAGTTTGGAATTGTACTGTTTGGAATTGCCTCAATGATAGCAAACAACCATGGCAGAGAAGGGATTCTTATGCCAACTTTAAAAATGTGTTCCCCAAATCACTATTCTAGGTTTGTGATGATCTCTTAAGCACAATGTCCCTTCTTTTTGATCTGCACAGGAAAAAAAAGTGTATTTTGTTTTATTAAGTTCATGTGTCAAGAAATCTTTTGTCTTGTAAAGAAAAGACAACTCCAGGTAGGGACATTTCCTTTTTCCTACCACTTCCTTATGGCTTGAATTCATGTTCTTTCAGTTTAATGAATTCTGGTAGTGTTTTTCAGGACACCTTCTAATTGCATTCTCCAGTATTGCTGTACTCTTTGCAAAAATAGGAGTGGGACTATTCACACTCATTTAGTTTATTTCTGTTGCTGATAATTTGCTGTTTCTGAAAGTGAGCCCTTAAAGTCTAGAGTACAAAGTTGGGGCAACATTAATTTTCGAGTTTATTTCCAAATTCTTTTTATTTTCCTCTTACATTTTTCTGTGTCTTTTTCACTGTTGTGAACAGAGGAGTAATAGCTGGAGAACAGAGAGACTAGCAGTATTGGATTTTTTGCTTTTATTCCCCCCAGAAATCTTCTTTAATTTTAAGTATCTCTTAATAGTGATTTTAATTTAGTAACTTCATAAATATTTTAAGCATCTAAAAGTAAATTGCTTTATAGACATACATTCATGAGACAGTTGTCTCCTGCAGGAGGTGACATTCCAAATTATTTATTTTCTGTTTCCATAATATATAATATTATTGTCAGTAGCTATGATACATACCATTATGCATATGTGTTGATAGAATATGTAATACTTCTGCTTGTATTTGTTTTTCTCCTCTAAGATCATTAGTTGCTTGCAAAATACTAGTGAATTTAATTTTTAAGATCTTTAAATTTTAATGGATTATTGAAACAAATTGTATAAAATTCTTTAATATAGGACCATTATTTATGTCTTATGCATTGTTTAAACCTAAAAATATTGATTATACCAATTAATATCAAAATCTTTATGCCTCAAAGTTCTATATTTTAAAAGATGTGATAATTTCATGGATGACGTTCCATTGCTTACATGTTGTATTAACTTTTGTAGACTCAATGGAAGCATGTGAAGTACAGACAAATATGAAAGTTTGGAGAGAACCACTGGAGATTGAATTTAAAGAAGACAGTCTATCCTATGTGGAAAAATTGTGGCTTAAGAAACATAGGAGGTATTATCTTCAGTTGTACATTAGTAAGAAATATAAAAACTATATTCCTTATTGTGTGATATTCCATTTGGTAACAATTTTGTATATATGCTTTCTATTTGATACATAATTTTAAAGTAATCTAAAATCCCTTTGAAGCATCTAATCAGAAATTGTAATGAGAATTTTAATTCTACTTATGAGTATGATACATCATTAATTTCGAGTTTGCCTTGAGAAATGGAAGTGTATTTATGGGAAAAAGACACATGTGGTAGGGAATTTAAGAATAATAGCAAAAATACTGTATAATTTATAGATTACTTTGAAGAATTACTCTCAGACCTCTCACATTTGCATAAACTTTGAAAACTACATTTTTAGAATCTACTTATAAGACAATTAAACCTTTACAGTTTCATTAATAGTAATCAGGCATATTTTACTCAAAGACTGTATCATTGGATGCAGCATTTTGTAGATTACTTAAAATATTAAACTAATAATTACTAGCCTAATTTATCATTTTAACATCATGTAAGAGCCATAGAATTCCAGATTTGGAAAGTACCATGAAATACCTCCAACTCAATTTACTCCACTGCCGTGCTTATGAATTGCCTTCAAGATGTCATTTTGGCAGTAGATTGGCCTATGAAGGGGCTTGACTTTCTGAATTTCTCACAGATCCCAGCTGGCACAGAGCTGGATGCTGCTAGTCTCTGGAGCATGGGTTCATGTTTGAGTTTTGTTTTGTTTGTTTTGAGCTTGTTGAGCATCTATTTTCCTGGCATCCAAGATGGGTTCTCCCTTCCCCACCCCTGGGATCACTTCTCCAAAGGACCCTGGCTTCTGTATTCTAGAAAGAAAAATAGGATTGCTAATGAATTCATGGCTACCTGAAGTATAGCTCTTCTCAGAGGACCAAACTAGGGAAGATCTATGTAAATATACTAGCCCATTTATACGACACGTACAGCTACATTTATTATCTCTATCTATATACTCGAATACCTATTAAAGTAAACAGGAGTTTGCACACTTCTGACTC